GCATTTTCGAAGCACCACAAAATATGATCAAATCATCAACAAACTGTAAATGGGATACATTAACAGACCCCTGTTCCCTGCCAATCACCATTCCAGAAAATAAACCCTGTGAGACAGCCCTACGGATCAATAAATTGAGTAGCTCCCCTATTAAGTTAAACAACAATGGTGACAAAGAACAACCCTATCGAAGACCTTTTTCCATTGAGAATTCCTCAAAAGAACTCCATTAACTAGGACCGAAACAGAAGCTGTGGTTACACACTTCCTAATCCAGCCCCTCCATCTGGAACCAAATCCCATTTTCTCCATTACTTTAAATAAAATAAACCAATCAACTGAATCATAAGCTTTTTTGAAATCAACCTTGAAAACATAGCTCTTGAGTCCATTTTTCCTCAAAAAATCAACTCCTTCATTAGCAACTAGAGAACAGTCCAGAATTTGTCGATCGGGAATGAAGGCAAACTGAGTTGGACTAATGACGTCTGATATACAACCCCTTAATCGCCTTGAAAGACACTTAGAGATGATCTTATACAATCCACCAACTAGGCTAATAGGTCTATAGTCATCTAAACCACCAATGTTAGAGACCTTTGGAATGAGAGTAATAAAGGTATGATTAACACCATGTTCCCAATCTTTCTCCAAGTAGAAATTATGAAAGAACTTCATAATATCTTCCTTGAGGACATGCCAAAACTTTTTGAAAAAGCCCATATTTAAACCATTCGGTCCCGAAACTTTATCCGAAACTTTATTACTATCACAAGACTTTAAAGTTTCCCATATTTCCTCCTCTGTAAATTCCTTCTCTAAACAAAGATTCTGCTCTATTGAAATACTAGGAAAATTCAACCTTAATTCTTCTACTTCGAATGCCGAATGTTCATTAAAAATTTTAAAGAAGTGGTCTCTGACAGTGGCCTTAATAACTGACGGATCTTGGATAACATTTCCCCTGATATTCAGAGCATTCAAAGCATTCCTCCTCTTCCTAATTGAAGCACAACTATGGAAAAATCTGGTATTTCGATCCCCATCTTCTACCCATTTTGATTTGGAATTTTGGAACCAAATCTGCTCCTCTATCTTATAGTCTCCATAATTATGTTTTTGATGAATTCAACTCTGTTGTTTTTTCACTGTTAAAACCATCCTGCACCTGTTGAATATCCACTTCTAACTTGTGAATCCTCTATTCTAAATCTGAAATATGAGCCCCTGAAAACTGATCCCTCTTGCCTGCCCAATTCTTGATAGATGTTTTTTTGTTTTTTTTCAGAATACTATAAATTCCAACCTTCCTATGATGTTTCTTACAATCTTGAATTGAAGAGCTGACCAAATCCTTAAACCCAACTTCATCCATGAGATAATTAAAAAGTTTAAAAGGTTTTTTACCCCAATTGACACCTCCATTTTCCAGCAGTAATGCATTATGATCTGAAAGAGACTTTGGCAATAAAGATTGAACAATATCATGAAAGACAGCTAGAAATTGACCATCAACAAAAAATCGGTCCAATCTAACATAAGTAGGGGTATCTTGGTTATTGCACCAAGTAAACTTACCCCCATTCAAGGGTAGATCGATTAAACCTGTTTGAAGCATAAACAGTTTGAATATCCCCATTGAATTCCTGTTTTGAGCTCTTCCAACCTTCTCTTCTTCATGTAGATAAACATTAAAATCCCCACCTACACAAATAGGAGCACTCTGTCCACCTACGAACATACTCAACTCTTCAAAAAAACTAGCTTTCTCCTCCTCCACTGAATGGCCATAAACATTGATGAATATACAGCTGAAATTATTAACACGAAATTTTCCTGATAAAACAATATATCTTCTACAAATAAACTGATTTTCCAATTCGAAAATGTTATCATCCCAACAACTCAGTAAACCCCCTGATGAACCAACCGATGGAGATTCAATAACACCTTTAAAATTATTTAACCCCTTTCTTCTAAGAAAAGATCTTGGAATCTTCTCCATTTTGGTTTCTTGCAGCCAAAGAAACTGAGAATGATTTTTATCAAGTAACCTCTGAAATTCCCTCTGCTTTTCTTTTCTACCCGAGCCTCTAACATTCCATGAAACAATGATTAACTGAATCTTCATCATTAAATAAACATCAATCTAAACCCCCATCAAGATCACCTTGATTTACCATATTCAAACCTTTCTCCAAGCTGATAATCTTTTCCAGAAAAGCCTTATTCCCTTGCTTAAAGGAAACCCCCAATAGCTTGCTTATTTACCAAGTTGCTAGGTTTCCTCCATTACATTCGAAAAAGCTGAAGATGAAACTGTTGAAATGCTCACTTGTTCCAATGCTTCCCTTATCAGGTGTCTTTTAACTCTTCTGATGTCAAAACCAGAAATGAAGCTTGTGCTTTCTCCTATTGACAACCCTCCATCAACCTCCGTATCCACTCTCTGTTGAATAGCTTTTGAGGACTGATCTTCCCCTTCCTTACTGATTAATTCCTCCTCTCTTTCAGGCATAAAATTCAAAACGCTCCCAAACCAGTATTTTCTGTCCCTAGACCTTTTATAAACCCTTTTACAGCTGCTCATTCTTCTTCTCTCTAACGGTACACTTTTTGATGACAACGATCTTCTATTTCTGCACCGAGTTCTCCCCCTTGAAAAGCTTTTTGCCATATTTATCCTTGGATCTAACAACATTAACTCCGATCCAATAAGCCCAAATCCAGCCTGAACAAACTTCTTTGAATCTTACTTTTCCCCTCTTCTTTATTAATATTTCCAGACTTAACTGAATTATGCTTGTGGATCGTTCTCCCAAACTTGTCAATTTTAATTGTTGGACCAGTTGGAATTATTCTTAAAACATTAAGCCCAGAATGTCCCTCATTATCTGATTGGGACTGTGATCCATCAGATGAAAATTTTGAATTTCTAAATCCTAACCCGACAAGTTCACCCACTTTTATAGTCTCAATATTTTGACTTTCTGATAGCCCACAATTAATACCATTCTTATCTATGGAAAATCTTGGAAGCTGTTTTTACCCACCAACTCCCCCAGAACCAAGAAAAGCTCCATTGTCAAACCAATTGTCAACTCTGCCGAATTTCTTATGCTGAACAAGCTGTATCTTTCCCACTTTCTGACAACAATTTGACTTCTTCCTCTAGAGTCCTCTTCTCTCCAAAATGTCCCCCACCGTAATCTTTCACCGTAGAATTACTGAAAAAAGAACTTGAAGACTCGCACGCCGATCCAACCTTGATACACTTTAAATGATCTTCCATATGATCCAAAAGAGATCACCTCCGGAACATCAAAACAACTTGCCACCCTCAATAAAATTTTCGCCCTTGTGAGGTCTACTTTTTTCCTAGTGGCATCGTGAATGTCAACCACGATTCCCCATATCCCTGCTATTTGTTCGAAGAAATGACTATTCCAACATAACAGAAGGTCCCTAATTAATTCCACCAGACAAAAGGCCATTGGGACTTCTTCTTCATTCAACAATGGTGCCAATCGATCAAACCATAATTCTAATTCTTCTTTCCTCTTCAACCATATATCCAACATCTCTTCAGATGATTTAAAGACTATAACACAAGAATTTCATACATGTCCCCATCTAGCAATTTGGACTTCATAGCCATCATTAAGTAAAGCCTTCTGAACTAACTCTATGAAATGAATGTTTAATAATCCCCGTTAATGACCTTTTAACCCAGCTTGAGCTTTCGGGTGGTATATGCATTTCCAGAATATTTTTCTTCACTTTCCCCCTATGAAGATCATCGGATGAAGTTGCCTTGTTCCCCATTGCACTTCTGTTTGACAACAAAGCATCTTTATAAGTTCTATCATCCCTAAAACTTTTGTTTAAGTCTTCTGCCTCTTTTGATTTTGATGTTTCTGCGATATTTTGGCTGAGAACCTTCTTTGAGGCAATATTTTTCCCCACTATCCATGAAGGAGCTTCCTTGTATCTTACAGGACCAACTGTAATCTTCCTCCCATCTATCAATACACCATTTAATTCATCGACTGCCCTCTTCAAACCTACCTCACTCTTAAACTGAATAAAAACAAAGGTTGAAAATTTGTATTTTTGGAATTCCTAGTTTCTTTGGGAATGAAAACTCTCTTAATAGGACCATAGATTAAGAAAATTTCCCTTAAAGTACGTCGAGACACCCTCCTACTAAGATTGTCGATAAACATCGTCCAGTTCTCATCAGAAACTGACTTAACTTTGAACTTCTCTCTCTCTACATTGTTCTCTTTCTCACTCATCTTTTTTCACTTGGTCTCCTTGAAAGCTATTTTAATGTTAATCTCAATTCTTTCATAAAATCATCATATGTGAGAAATTTGCACTTCTTTGAAGTATGGTAAGTTGGTTGCTTTTACGGTTTTATTCCCTTAAAAACTTTTATTCTCCTGTAAAAGTAAACAACCAAAGAATTGAAAAGATGAAATAAATGCATACAAAGAAATTCCAATAGGAATACACTACGATGCTTTGACTCTTCATTTTTCCCAACATACACGTTCGATATTCATATTCGACGCATATTCAAACATGGGCACATGTATGATTCTCCAACTATATGGAAAAACTCAAGTAAAAAAAGCATATATGTACCATATACATGCATATATCCAACATTCAACTCTAAGTTAGTGTAGCATACGATCGCCTCCAAGTTTGAGTAACATATGGAGTATGAGTACAAAAAGATGAATTGACAAAGAACAAGACATAATTTTTTTTGATAGAAATAAGGTAGGCCTCATTAAAAACCCCCTTCTTAACCTCCATGTTACAAAAATAACATGAAGGTTATTGGAAGGAGGAAAAGAGTGTCTAATACTTTATTAATATAGAAATAATACAAAGCCATATCCTAAGAAGCTTCTGTTACAACATAACACTTAAAAACAAACAAAAACAAAAATGAAACCAACTCAGAAGCAGAACAACCTAAACATACCCTAATAATCAACTATTCCTTCTTTAGCTAATTTATCCGATTCCCAATTGGCCGCTCTCAATATATGCCTAATAATAACATCTTTACTCTCCACTAGGGAAACAATGTCTTTCACCAAGGACTGAAACATAGGTGTACATAAAGCCGGATTTTTAATCCATTTCAGAGCAGTAAGGGAATCCAATTCAAGGACGACCCTTGGAAATGAAACCAAAGCTATCTCCTCCATAAACAACAACCCTCTTTTGATAGCCAATAACTCTACAAGAATAAGAGGACCTCCCCCAATCCTTTCAGAAAATGAACCATACTGCAACCCTTCAGAATCCCTTAACAGACCACCAATGTCTCCTTTATCCCACCCCTTAATCATCGCACCATCAACATTTAATTTAACAAATCATGAGGGAGGAGGATTCCAGCACGAGGAAGAAGTACAACCCTTATTCTTTCTTCCCACGGAATCAGCTAGTCTAACATCACCCACAAGAGAGTCAAAATTAATCTGCACATCTTTGAATCTCGCCACAAACCATGATGCAATTTTAAAACGAACAAGGAAGAACAATAACGGGCCATCCACCTTTCTTTTCCCAAAAATAATTTCATTTCTGCACTTCCAAACCGACCACAACACCGCCCTAGGAATGAACTTCCAAATGGTGGAGCTCGAAACTAAGTAATCCCAAACAGTGATAAAATCCAGCAACCTCTGAGGGGCTACAAATGAGACATTCCAAGATGACAAGAATCTACTTCACAAACCCCTTGCAACCTCACAATGTAAAAAAAGATGAGAAACCGACTCCACACACTTACCACACAACAGACAAGATGAGTCATCAATCCCTATTACTCATCGCTTCATCAATTCCTCTCTAACTGCCGCTCTCTGATGAATAACCTGCCAGCTCGTCCCATTGTTCAAGGGATAAACTACCAGCTATGAAATGACTTAATTTTAAATTTAGAAATTTTACTCCAGATATGCAATGACCCGTCCATGGACAAACACAAACATAAACACTAGACAATTTGTTAGTTACCATCTAGTTTAAAACATTCCCTTATAAAATCTTTTCATATATGGTACAATTTGTGTGTTTTTCTTTTGGGGGTTAACATGTCTAAGAGTTCTGTCTGTCAATGCATGTAAACTTATCTATACCCTAGAATCATCTAGTTGCATGGTAACTGTTTATCATTAAACCGAAAAAATTATATCTAGTTATTGACAATAAATTTACACTCAAAGAGGATAAAGTAAGAGAGATGAAAATAGGAAGCAAAGAAATATCGTATGATGGCAAAGATAGAGCAAGAAAAGAAGGAAAAGAGAGGGAAAAGATAAAATTATAATAATAATAAGAGGAAAAGAAAAAAAGTGACAATGAGAGAGAGTGTCTTAGGTGGTCATTTCTCCGGTGAGGATTGGACGGTGTTTGTAGACAATCTTAGTAAGAGAGTCACTTGGAGAACATTAAAGGAAATTTTTCATCAACAGGGTAGTGTTCTGCGAGTGTACATCCCGAATAGTTCTTACAAGCCAAATTATAGAAACCATACGTTTGCATTCATTTAGTTTGCGAAGGAGGAAGGAATGAAGAAGGCGATAGCGAATGTTAATGGTATTTGGATAGATGGAAAGAAAGTTTCGGTAGGTGTAGCTAAATATCAGAGGCGGTGGAATATGCAAGCTGTTGATAGAAATTTCAGAAAAGATGAAGATAAGTTGATTAAGGGAGCGAATGGGAGAAGAAGAGCTGGATCTGAGTCTTTTAGTCGTTTGAGGGATGAAAGATCATATAAAGATGCATTAGCCTCGTCTGATGGGCTGAGGGAAGGTCCGGTGAGTAAAAAGATTAGGGAGTGTCACCCTAGTAAGGATGCTGGAATGAGAAATCTGTGGGAGATGTATATTCCCTCTGATGAAAGGGATTGGGTGAAAAGATCATTGACTGGGATTATTAAATCCCATTTTGATTTGGAGCAAGTGTTGAAGGGGCTGGCTAGTGATGGGATCAAGGTTAAAGGAGCTAAATGAGGTTATGCATAGAACTCATGCATCTTAACTTTTGCTTCGGTGGAAGAATTGAAGGAGGCGTGGTCGAGCAGATTGGAGGAATTGTCTTTCTGGTTTGATTGGATTGATCCGCTTTTGAATGATGATGGTGTACCGATGGCTTTTTGTTCGGTTGATCTTGTGGGAATCCCCTTATTATGCTGGAATGTTTCTTTCCTGGAAAAGCTTGTTTCAAGGTGGGGGAAGCTAGTTTGTATCCATGAATCGACAGCAAGAAGAGAAGACATGGCGGTGGCAAGGGCCCTGTTGAGGGTGGCCAGTCCCTATGATGTACATGAATCTGTTATATTGGGTTCGTACGGGAGATCTTTCAAGGTCAAAATTAATCTGGGGTCGGTCCTTATAAAACAAGAAAACTTTTCAGGCGTAAATTCAACGGCGGCCGGCGAGGGTGTGGTTAATGATGATGAACTTTCAGAGGAGGAAGAAGATAGGTGTTCTGATGGGTTGGTAGTACAGACTTAGCTGAGGATACTAGGGGCAGTGTAGACAGATGGTTGGTAGGGGAGGTTGGTACAGCAGTGGTAGGCAACAAAGGGGGTCAAAATTTAATGTGGCAGGAAGAAGAAGTCCAACCTAGTGGAGAAAGGGTGTCAGAGTTTTCACAGGAGGGTTTGAATTTAAGAGGGAATTATCCAGGTATTGGGATTAGGAATAATTTTTCTAATGAAAGTAATAAAGCCTAATCGGAGGATTTGAGTGAGCCCATCAGAATCTCAATAGCTGGGCCAGCTGTCAATTTAATTAGGTTGGGCTATGGTAATCAAAATGAATCTCGGGTGGAGGAAATAGAAGCTCTACAGCAAAATGTGATGGTGGAATCAAATTTGCAGGATTTGGTTGTAACTTTGCCTGATTACAACTCAAATTTGTCTGCTAGTGGGTCCAAGGATAGAATACAAACTTTTACAGAGGAGGACCAGGTAGAGGAAGGAGCAGTCTGTGATAAGGTAGGTGTTAATGCGGATGAAACAGAGGTTGAAAGGGAAGAAATTCCAGTTTTGGTTGGTAATCAGGGGCGGGGAATCAATAAGGAGTCTTGCTCGAAAGGACTAAGAAGAGGTTTTCTTAAGCACAAGAAGATGAGGATTGCTCCAACTTGGTCTGGTAGTGCTTGCTCGGAGGGGGATGTGTCCATTACTTTCCATGACCGAGTTTATGAAAGGGTAGATAGAGGCCTGGTCAGGGAACCTTTGGAGCAAAACAGTATTACTTATGAGTCCCCACACATATATGTGGTAGCAAGATTGGAAGCTGCTGCTACGAGAGAGGTTTGTGATATGTTGGGGATCTCTTTCAAAGGGGGAAATCAAGTTTTGGAAGAGGAGGTCTTGAAGATGGAGCTGAAAGGGCCTCTTAGGAGCTCTTGAGTGCTGGTTTCAGGATGTAAGGGGTTTGCTGATATTGTTATTTATGTCACAAATCAAATTGATTTCCTGGAATGTTAGGGGGCTTGGAAGAAAGGAAAAAATAAGAGCAGTTGCAAGAGTAACATCAAAAGTCAAACCGATAATTATGTTTCTTCGGGAATCTAAATTGAATAAATGTCAAAACGGATTACTGAAGAAGTTGGGGGGTAATTTTATGAAAGGTATTAGCTTTCAGCCAGTTTCAGGTTCAACAAGGGGTTTAATTTGTCTCTAGAATGAAAATCTGTTTGAAGTCAGCAGGGAAATTAAACATAATAGATTCATTGCTTTATCAGGAAAGTTTAAGATGGTTAACTTCGAGTGTGTTGTTATTAATGTGTACGGACCATCGGTTGAGGCTGATAAAGAGGAGTTTTTTAGAGAGTTGATGTGTTTTGTACAAAATCTTGACTTGCCTGTATGCCTAGGGGGGATTTCAACACATATCTAGATCTCGAGGAGAAAATTGGAGTGTCTCAGAATTGGCACTCATTGGACCTATTTTCCAACTTTGTCCAAAATTTAAATCTTATGGATCTACCTTTAGTTGGAGGGAGATTTACATGGTGCAATAATAGAGAAGCTTCCACGTGGATTAGATTAAATCGTTTTCTATTAAGTGGTGTTTTTTTCAGGTATTTCCAAAAGTTATTCAGAAATTGTTGCCGAAATCCTTATCTGATCATAACCCGATAGTACTTGAAGAGGAATCCAATAATTGGGGTCCAAAACCTTTTCGGTTTTTTAACTACTTACTTGAGGATGATGGATTTGTTGGGGTGGTTCAGAATGCTGTGTACGATTTAAAGATGGAGAATGCCCGTAGGGGTATGCTGAGTATTCTTCAAGGAACTAAGAAAGCAATTAAAAAGTGGCCAAATAGTAATAATTTGGGGATGTCCGAACAGATTTCTGATCTGGAAAACATGATAAATGATTTGGAATTGAGGTGTCAAGGTGGGGGGATTTCTGCACAAGATTGGGGTCAACTATTGACTTGGAGGAATGAATTGTGGGGTTTGCATAGGAAGGAGGAGAGTATCTGGTTTCAAAAATCTAGAATAAAATGGATGAAAGATGGGGATAGAAATACCAGATTTTATCATCTATGTGCTCTTAATAGGAGTAGAGTGAATGCCATATCGTCTTTGAAAGTAGCTGGGGAAGATATTGCTGATCCGAGTAAGATTAGATCAATTATCTCAGATTTTTTTAAAGTCAATTACAATGGGAAAACATCTCTGGAGGTGGATGAATGGAATCTGAATTTCGCTAAAGTGACAGAGGAACAAAAGATTGGTTTAAAGGCTGACTTTTCTGAACAGGAGGTATGAGAAGCAGTCTTCTATTCGGACAGTGCTAAAGCACCAGGTCCGGATGGGTTTACTATGAGTTTCTTTAAAAAATTCTAGACTATATTGAAGGATCATATTATGAAATTTGTTCAAGATTTTCAGAGGGAAAAAGTGGGAGCATGGAATGAACCATTCCTTTATTACTCTAATCCCAAAGATAGTGAATCCAGAGAGAATTGAAGATTTCGCCTATTAGTCTTGTTGGCAGCCTTTACAAGATTATTTCTAAAGTGCTCTCCAAAAGGCTTCTCTCTGTTATTAATGGCTTGGTAAACCCTTCACAGTTCACATTTATTCCGGGTAGACAACTGCTAGATTGTGCTCTTTTGGCAAATGAAGGCATTGACTATTGGAGAAAATTAGGGAGAAAAGGAGTTGTATTCAAATCTGATTTCCGTAGGGCTTATGATTCGGTTGAGTGGAGAAATTGAAAGGTTGGGGAAAAAGGATGGAAAATTGTGTTTCTTCTGCATCTATTTCGGTGTTAGTTAATGGTTCTCCTACTGAGGAATTCCGCATTAGTAAA